CCCTCAACTCAGGCTCTATTTGGATTATTTCTTGCACTATAGTGTGGAACCTACCTGCATGCAGTAAGCTGGGGCAGGTTTAAGGCTCTTCTGTTTTGTTTCCCATCTTTCATGGGTCACAGTACTGTGTTGCCATTGTCTAGTGTCTGAAACTTTAACATGCTCATCTTTTCTAGTTGTTTAAAGCAGGAGAGTAAATCCAGTCTTGTTACACCATCATTATCTGAAGCAGAATTACTCTTATTATAGTTTTATTTATTTATTTTTTAATGAGCGAAGGTAGATTTTTTTTTTTTTTTTAAAACACTTTTCGGGGTAGTTTTTTTTTTTTTTTTTAACACACATTTCAGGGTAGTCTGTATATCTTCTTTTGTAGAGCTTTCTACCTTTTTATGTTTAGCCCCTTTTTATGGTATCATTGGTTTTTATGGTATCATATGGTATCATTTTCCTTCTCTATTTTTAGAAGGTCTTCACATGTTAGGGATATTTGTCTTTTTATTACACTTTGCTGTTGGTGTCTTTTTGTGAAATTCTACCCTTACTGTGATGAATTATTGTACCTCTAAATTCCTACTGGAGCACTGGGTTGGTATTGGACATTGAGGAAGATAACAGACGTTGCTTTTATTGTGAGATGTATGAATAATAGTTGAGTTAGGAGCTCCAACTTTATTAATGGTAGAATGATATGATGCATGAATGTTCTTCCAGGTAGCTATATGACTCACTCCCTTCCCTCCCTCAGAACTCTGCTTAAGTGTTACTTTATCAGAAAGCTCTTCTGTTTAAAATTGTAACACTCTTATACCCTCCTCCCCTAATTCCTATCCTCTTTTTGTTTTCTTGTTCTACAGCAATTACTGCAATTTGACATAACACGTATTTTGCTAATTTATATGTTATCACTTGTCCCTAAAATGCTAGTAGCTTGGAGGCAAGGATTTGGGGCCTTTAATAGTGCCTGGCACATAATATTGCTTAATCTGATTTCCCTTTATGTAGGTTGTTCTGGCACAAAGTGAAAGTTGAAAAAGGCAGAGACTTGAGAACGCAAGGACAGTTCAAGTTCTATTACAGTGCTCTATGTGTAAGGACGGTGGCAGAAGCTTAGCTGGAGTGATTGCAGTGAGAATAAAAGAAAGACCCAAATGAATGACGTTAAAAAAGGGAGTGGGTCACCAGCTTTGTTTGTGTTTGTAATTGTTGAATAAAAGCAAAACACAAAATACTTGTATTTGGATTATATTTTTAATATAGGTATTTATAACGCAAAATTATAGGCCATTGAAAATGAATCTGATGAGTAGATCTTGGTAACTTTTTTGTTGTTGCTGCCATAAAACATTATTTAAAAAATACAAACATTAAAGTATCTAGTAGAAGTTATATTAGTTTTTCTTGTTTACTCTTTGTCTTTGATTATTTTTAGAGCCTTGCTTCCTGTTTTACATCACAAATCTAAAAAAGGACCCCCCCGTCAAGCCAAATATGCCATTCATTGTATCCATGCGATATTTTCTAGTAAAGAGACACAGTTTGCACAGATATTTGAGGTAATGAGAAAAATTTTATTTGTTTCATATGTCATGGTTAGAAAACATATATTAATGATTTTATAGAATGTTCACATTTGGTTTGGTGATGCATCATTTTGTAGTATATTTTCAGAATTTGAATCAGTAAAATCAATGTTGGTAAGGTAATTGTATAAAATATAGATAGTAGATAACAGATGATTATTTTGTTGTTTTATAGGTTCAAAAAATTTGAATTCTGTTTGAGATACTACCGAAGTTTAGGGATTTGTAGAACAGTACCAATTGGTAATAAAAAGTAAATAAACTTTTGCCTTTATAATTGACTGACCTAATTTTGTGTCAGATGTAAAGTGTGTCTTTTTAATATAAATTTCAAATTATTTTCCGTACCCTTTACGTAATAACCTTTACCCAAGCATTGCAATTTTATTGCAATCTATAATAATTAGGGGCTATCTCTAGTATTGTTATTGCAAATACAAGTTAAGCAGAACATCTATAAAATCCTAATTTATAATTTAAGTATAGGAATCTTGAGTGTAGTTAAAACAATTTGGAAATTATACTGAATCTACTTACCATAAATATTTTGACTTATCTCTGTTTTAGAAACTTTTATGCTAATTTTGTCATTTTTATGTGTTGTGTTAAAGACTTGAAGGAGAGAAAAAAATAGTTTTCCCAAGCATCATCTTTGCTGTAGATAGCAAATAATTTATTTTAAATTTTGTGCATGTGGGGTTGGGAATATTTTCTGTAGTCTGTTTTTGTGTATGAGAATGACTTCAATAAATTCATGTTGATTTATAGGAAACATTCATTTTTCTTGATTGATCTTTTTATTCCTTGTAATCATGAGTATGAGAAGAATAATACTTATATAACTTGTGTTTGTAGGGTACTTAAATTTTCATTTTGATATTATATCTGTTATTTTATTTTTTCCTGTCATCCCCCTACTATAACATATAAAGTTGGTTGACTTTCTGAGAAGAGATTTTATAGAGATATCTGCTCTTTTTGAGGTTGCCACTAATCTAGGATCTGGCCATTAATTTTGCTTTTTCAGAAATGATTTTATTAACTTACTGTGGAAAATTATCAAACTCATTATAATAAACTACTTGAAAAAACTATTTATATTATCATATTTTTGTTTATAATGTGAACAAGCTGGCACTTAGCTAGGTGTGCAATGGAAGTATTGAGGGAACTCATCAAAGGTAACAAGAAGTAAACTTACTTAAATGTATTTTTGACTAAATGAGACCCCATATTGCCCTAATATGTTTGGAACAGTTTTGTATTGCTTTTCAAGCCTAGAATTCCTAGAATTCCTGGTGTTCAGTGTGGGAGAATAGAACACCAAGTTTTCATTAAAATGTGGCATTAGAATTTCTAATATTATATTCACTTCAAAATCAAAAGATGCAAAAAGAATATATAGTGAAAAGTTCCCTTACCCCCATACCCTAGCCACTCAGTTTCTTTTCTCACAGGCAACCATTGTTATGTACTTTATGTATACAGTAATGTACTTTTCTGGAGATATGTTATTCATATACAAGTAAGGACGTATAAATACACACATTTTGTCCCCCCCTCACTACCCTAATGCCAATGATAGCCTATTTTAGTCACTCTTCTCATTTTCCTATTTTTAAAATTTAGCAGTATATTTTGGATATCATTCTATATGAGTATATGAAGAACTTTATTCTTTTGTCATGGCAAAATACATATGAGTGGTTGGCTTTCCTACAGAATTATAAAAAATAATTTTATTTGTGGTATTTCATATTTGGTGCTCTAATAAAGACCACCACAATTCAAATGACTGAGCATAGGCAAAAGCCTATTTCTTGTTCCTGAAAAATCCAGTTGGGGTGTTTGAATGGCCTCCTAATCAGTGGCTTAGGGACACAGACTCTTTCTGATTAGTGACTTCTCTTTAAGACTCCCTGGATCCTTGGCATTAAGCCAGCCAGTGAGTAAAGAGAGAGCCAGTGGAGAAGACACACTGCTCATTTGTGCCTCAGTGCAGGTGTGGTATACCTCTCTTTCACTCCCACTCCCTTGACCAGAACTCATTCACATATCCTCACCTAACTGCAGAAGAAGCTGCAAGTGGCATCATCCTTATGCCCAGGAAATTCTATTTCTATTCTATCCAGAGAAGTGGATATTGGTGAGCCCTGACAGTCATAAAATATATGCTACATGATGTGATTCTCCATGCTGAAATGTTTCTGTACCTATCTCTAAAATGCCCCAAACTGAAAATGTTTAAAACAGATGCTTTCTAGACATAGATAACCTGTAGAAGTCTAAATGTAAGCTTGAGTTACTACTTATGTATATATTGAAACTTTTGTAGTTTTTATAATTTTTGTAATTTGAAGATGAAATAATATGGACAGTTTATTTGCATATGTATAGAGTTGAATATATTTCTTCCCCTCATTTTCAGCCTCTGCATAAGAGCCTAGATCCAAGCAACTTGGAACATCTCATAACACCATTGGTTACTATTGGTCATATTGCTCTCCTTGCACCTGATCAATTTGCTGCTCCTTTGAAGTCTCTGGTAGCTACTTTCATTGTGAAAGATCTTCTCATGAATGATCGGGTAATTTATGCTTCTTAGATCTGTGTTCTTCATAATGTTATCTTCCAAAATTTTATACAACAGAGAGAAGTAAAATGA